TAACAATTTGGAAAAATAGTTGTGAGAAGTTATTTTTGAGTGTAGACTCTAGCGGCTTCTCATAAATTTATAGCCGATTTTTCTATTTCTATCGAAATAAATTATTGTGTCATTCGCTAATTACTTTCATTTTTCAGCCAAGAAAGTTCCTCTGCAGTTTGGTCGAGTGTGTGCGTTCGGAGATTTTGATGGAGATCGATATACGGACATTCTGGTTCAGCGAGGTTCAAACTTGACAGTACTATTGCAGGATAATGAAATGCTCAATGTGGTGAACTTCGTAAGTGTTCGTCTTTTTTGGATTTTTTCTTTTGATAGGAAGTTGTGCGTTCTAATTACTATCATCATCTTTGGTTACCAATATATACTTAATCCAGTGACTACACTAGATTATAGAAGCTTTTACGAAATTTGACTAGGTTGGAAATGATAAAGATTTTGAGCCTATCAAAAAATTATGAACTGTTCACAAATAGCTGCTTTGTTGAGTATGAATTGGGGCTCATGGTTGTTGAGTTATGAGTCGTTTTAAGTTGTAGAAATTCATCTCATATTGTAAGTTATTAATGAGTTCAATATTTTTTTAAAATCTAAAATAGTATGGCATAGATAATAAGATCTCTTTTAGCTTGAAGAAGGTGTGTTCAAAAACTCGACTACATTCCGAGTTGGAGACGGGACTGTCGAATGTTCGTTAGGAGATTTCAATGGCGATACAAAACTGGATGTACTCGTAAGTAACACTACTACATGCGTAATAGTCTCCTTGAAGATGTGGTAAGGAGGTGTAAAAACGCAAACAATGTCATTATCATCGATATTGCTCTGGCACTTTAAATAATAGTTGTAATTTATCTCATCATTGCATTTTAGATTTTTGGTTGATTAATTCCTTTACTTCTTTTTGTTCTCAGCTTGCTTGATTCTTTGAAAGTTAATTTAGGTCTCAATGAAAAAGCGAGATGATTATCATCACTCAGTTTGGATCTCCACACCTCTTCGCGACTCTTTCGTTGAACATAAACTTGCCGTCCTTTCTTCACAAGCAATGGTAAGGCCATTTCCCATGTCTGAAATTTCATTTTGATTCACTTCAGTTCCCGTAAGTTGCTAGATTAGGTTAAAATGCTTATGCTGTAAGCTTCTCAGGCTATCGATGTAGATGGGAACGGTTGGCACGATGTGCTAGGTTTTTACCCCAATGGATCAATGTATTGCATGACGTTCAGTCGTGATGGAAGCCCTGCGTTTGACTGCAATTATCTTTTCCCGTGAGTCTAAGCCTATAATTATATCATTTTTCTTCGAATGTATATGCTGACTTTCAGGGGTTTCATACGAATAGATCCATATCCGGGGGTCCCGCATCTATTCGCCGACTTCACAGGTATATAGAAATTGCTCATTGCATTCTTCAAGTGATTTTTGGCGCTGGAACTCAGAGTCCCTTTTAAGGAGACCATCTGTCCGAAATTGTGTTCATGGATACGCTTACCACTGGAAGCGGAAAACTACTCTCACCAAGAATGTGGGGTCGTTTCAAGAATGGGTGGCGGGAAACGCCAATGCTCATTAGTCAAATTCCTGGCGAGCATCAAGTATGGCAAATTCCTTACAAGTGGAATACGTCTGATTTCTATCGCAGATTTTTATAACAGCCGTATCTGTTAGCGGCAGGTCTGAAAACAGCGTACCAATTTTAGTATGTTGGTGCTCCGCTGGTAGCCGATTTTGATGCTGATGGATTTATAGAGCTTCTCGTTCCGATTTGTAGAAAAGCGGACTGCAAGCAGGTAAGTAATTCTATCTCATAGCCAATTCTTAGAACACGTACTCCAATCACTCTTTAGGTCACTGAATTTGCCAACTGGCAGTATACTCGTGGCTGGTCAACGAATGCTTTCGATTTACAGGTACTCTTTTTTTAGTCAGTGAAAGT